TCTCACATTGTTGGTTTATTGGGCTGTGACTGGTTTTTATTCCTAAAATAGCACAATGTTGGATCCATGTGGCAACAGTTGTGGAAAATGATTTAGAATAATAGTTTTAGAAGTTATTCACGTAAACTTTTAGACAACTCTCTGAACAGAGACTTTATACACGGTTAATGTGTGCAACACCTGGACTCAATTTGTACATGCAAATGACAATTTTTATTTATTTATTACGTTTTGTAGCAGATTTTAGTCAAATGTGGTTGGATAAGATCAGATAAGATAGAACTTTATTGATCCCACAGGAAATTGTTGTGCCAGAGTTTCAGTACAAAGGAACATAAGGAATCACTCAATATATTTAAAAAAAACAACAACAGAATATTAAACTACCAACTGTTAAGTTTTAAAACGGGTCGGGTGCAGACAGAAACATTAAAGTGTTTATTGTGGTGCAGGATTCATTTGATTGTCCTTTGTGTTGAAAAGGGGGAGGAGTTGAAAAGCTTGAAGGACTTCCTGTGGTGTTCTGTGGCGCACCTACGACTGTAGGTGCTGCGATGAGTCCAGGGTGTCATGCAGGGGGGGGGTGACGTGTTGTTCAGGATCTGGAGCAGGTTCCTCAGCGTCCTCTGCTCAGACACCTCTGTCAGAGACTGCAGGTCCACTCCCAGAACTGAACCAGCTCTCCTGATGAGTTTATCGAGTGTGTTGGCATCGGCTTTCTTCAACCTGCTGCCCAACACATCACAGTGTAGAAGAAGACCCTGGAGACCACCGAGTGGTAAAACATCTGCAGCATGGTCCTGCGGATGTTAAAGGACCTGAGTCTCCTCAGAATGAGGAGAATCTTGTAGAGGGCGTTGGTGTTAGCTGTCCAGTTTATTGTCAAGGTGGACCTCAGGTACTTGTAGCAGTCCACAGTGTCCACCTTAGTACCCTTGATGTTGATGGGGGTGGAGGGGATGATCTTCTTCCTGTAGTCCTCCTGCAGCTCTTCAGTTTTTCCAGCGTTGAGTTGCAGGTGGTTCTGTCCACCACACCTCTGTATCTTCTGTAAACGTCTTCCTGGTCACCAGTGATGCAGCCCACAGTGTCAGAGTCCTCCTGCACGCAAAACAGATCCTTCTCAGCCTAGCAGCCTTTTCCTGTCATCGTTTTAAAACGGTTCTTTTCTTAGTCATGACAAAAAAAAAGCATTAATTTTGAATAAATATTTCACTGAACTGTATTAAATACAAATAAAACAAGTTCATAAATGTATTATAGATATTTTACTTAAATCCATGTAGTCAGAAACTTTAAAAAAGAAGATATGTTGCTCGGCAATAGCTTTTGTAGCTACTTTATATATATTTTTATATATGCTGGAGGCAGAGCGACAGTGTTTCTGAGTGTGTGTGTTGTGTTCACGAACCAGTGGACAGATTTAAGATGAACATCTACAGCTGGAAAACTTTTAGGTTCACCCCGATGGAGGATGGCCGCTACAACTAAGCAGCATTACTCTGCACAAAAGTGGCTGCGAACTTGTCAGTTTTACAGATATTGAAGTCAAACTTTAGTTGCTGTGAGTCCTGTGCAGTATGCACCTTGAATGCAACACATTACACAATGTTTTTATTTCAAACCTTTGGTAACTTCCTTAAGGCCCAGCAGCTAGTTAAACCGAGAGCTCAGCTTGTGTGTTCTACTAATGAATTATGTATAAAATATAACTAACTTTACCTGCATGGATTATTGAGCATGCATCATATATAACACAACTATAGTTCTTTAGGGCGTTGTCACGGTGTTTATTCGAGTTAATGCATCATTTCTGCTTTTTATGTGTGAGCATTATGAAATGGCCCCGAGAGTCGGTGAAGCAACCCCTGCAGGCAGGTCTGCACCTTTTCATATGCTGGAAGATGAGATGGGGACGTTCTTGTGTGCACGTTTATGTAGGTGCTTCACTTTTCTTTACTGCAATAAATGCATATAATTTTTATTTTTTTTGTCTTCGGTGTTTTGCTGCTTCATGTTTGTTACAACAAACCTGCGCCTCATGGGAAGTGAAATGCGAACCCTCTGCTCCTTCTCGGGACAATCGTTCCTTTGTTTCGGTTTGGCGATGAAGAGGGGAGTGGTGCGGTGCAGCGCCATGTACCTGCCACAACCTGAGAGCCAGAGTTTTTATCAGCCGCCTGAGCGGATACTTTCCCCAGATTACTTCCATACGCACGGAGAGAGTGAAGCAAACGTGAAGGAGCAAATATTTGAAGTAGGATTGAAAGTAGAGGCCACTTTAATCTACAACAGCGTTACTCTGGAGGTTATAAATAGAAGAAAAGAGTAAAGGGTGAATACATTAAAGTCTTTTTTTAAAGAAACCAATAAAACTAAAGAGGCACAGAAACGTTAATGTTTACCTGCCTGCTATACTGGTTAACTATTAGAAATCCAAGGTTCAGTTTTTCCCCCCCAAGTTATTCTTCAGTACTTTTTAAACACCTCTTTAAAACATTTCTATGATTTAAAAATGTTTTTTGCTTAAATCTGCTGTTTATTATTTATTTATGCTGTTAGAAATATGAAAACTTTTAGCAAATTCTGTATTAATTTTTCTAGATTCGAGTGGCGTGACAAAAATGACTAAATAAGAAGTTACAACCATAAAAAAAGCTTCTGTTGAAATAAAAACACAAAGCATTGAGAAGACAACTCCCCGTGGACGCATCTGACACGCACTAATTAACAACTTACACTTTTAGTTCAATTAAGACGTCACCGTTCCAGGAAGCCTCTGCACACTCGTAAAGCTTTTCAGGAGCATCACATGTTGTTGTTTTGTTATTTCATCCAGCTCGTTTGTTTGAAACTAAACAGAAACTGTTTTTGTTTGTCAAGAACAACTGAGTCCAGAGTTTATGAAAAGTTGTGACGGACGTTTCCTGGTTGTAGCTTCATATTCAAAACGGGCGTGAGTCATATTTTTAAATTCTCACTGTGTTCTTTTGTTATTCGAGTTCGTTTCCCATTTCCACATAAAAGGAATAAATTTAGTGTAACATGTAAAGGTTATAAATAAATATGTTATATATTCTATCTATACATACTTTATTGTTGTTGTTATAGTTATATAGTAATTTAGAAACCAAACGCATCAAGTTGCTTCTGAAATCATTAATGATACAAATAAAAAAGATCAGGAATTGATATTTTTTGTGAAACACATTTGATCTCATTCCATTTACAAGGTTATGAATAACTTTATTTACTTTTACATATAAAGTACTGTATTCATTCAACCTTTATTTATACAACGAGACTAACCTGTATAAATAAAGGTTGAATGAATACAGTACTTTATATATAAATGTATATAAGGTTATTCATAACCTTGTAAATGGAATGAGATCAAATCACAAAAAATGACAAAAAAAAAATCAATTCCTGATCTTTTTTATTTGTATCATTAATGATTTCAGAAGCAACTTGATGCGTTTGGTTTCTGTTATTATAATAATTACAGAATACCGTAGTCACTCGCTACTTTGCGGTTCGTTTATCGTGGACTCTCTCTATCACGGTTTTTCAAAATAAGATGGGACATGACGCACAGTTGGCTAATTGACGGAGGCGCCGCACGATCGGCATGGGGTTTTAATTTAAAATAAATGATTTAAAATTATTTAGCACCTTTGTGCAGCCCATACTGCAGGATGAGCTTCCTGCTGCAGCTGATCAGCTGTTCACGTGCAGAGCAGAGAAGTGGGCGTGGCCAAGAGCACTGGCAGGTGACAAAGAGCAGAGGAGGCAGGGAGCTGAAATCATGACATGCTGTGTTCTTTTAGAGTGTTTAGTGTTTAGAAACATTGTTTAGAATATTGCAA